CAGGGAACTTTGTGATCTTTTCCTTCTTTGTCTTTTTATTGTAACAATTTGAAATGTAGTTGACCTACAGAAAGCTTAACATATTTAAAGTATGCAGTTTAATTGCTGAACATTTATGCAACTGGAATGATCACAGTTAAGCTAGTGAACAGAAGTCTAACCCGTAAAATTTTTTGTCTGATGTTAACATTCCCCCACCTGCTAGTATTGTGAATATTTGATCATGTAGTATGTACTTTTTTGGTTATTTAGTATAATGTATTTGAAATTCGTAATGTAAAAGTCATCCCATTTACTTATGAGTGTAAGATGAATAGATCATTCTGTTAATCTAAGCAGTGGTGCATGTATGACACTCTTTGAGCTTTTCCCTATTGGTGCCCTTATCTGACTTGTTTCTAGAATTTGATTATTATAAGTAAGACTGCTGTGAATGTTTCATGTGTTAAGTCTTTGTTTGATTCTATGACTCTTCTTGAGAAAATACCTACAGGTGGAACTACTGAGTCACATGCTAGAGGTATTTTGAACTCTTAAAAATATATCACCAAACTGCTTTCCAAAGTGGCTATGCTGCTTTGCATTCCTATCAGCAGTGTATGACACTGCCCCTATACCAGTAACTTGCAGTCAACTTCTGGTTGTCCATTGTGTGCTGTTGATGTTAGGCTCTTTTTTCAGCAACAGTTATAGGTTTGCTGTGTAAGAATTTTTTTTTCTGTATTTATTCAGTCTATCATTATAAAGGTAAATTGCCCTATAGCCACATAAAGTCATCTCACATACTAGTGATGAACTGGGATTACGTATGCTCCAAATTGTATAAGCTTAAGAAGATAAACTCAATTTATTTGAAATCAATGTTTATATGGATTTAATTATGTGGCATGAGTATTTAAAGATTGTCTCACTTCAAAAGCAACTTAATAAAACATTTAAAAATTAAAAATAAAAGTTCATGTATCTGGCTTTATTTTATTGACTGAGAAGTTATTAAATGGCACATAGCAAGTCTTATAGTAATCAGTAGCTTTAGAATGGATTTTGTAAAGCCATAATTTTTGTGAATGACAATGTAGAACATATTCTTGCCCAAAATTGAACTATCATGTACAGTTTGTAGTTACTTTTAGGAAAATCACCCGACTCTTACAATGTGTTTTTTTTTTTTGTTTTTTTTTTTTAACAGAACAAAACTCCTTTAGTCAATGAGAGCCTGAAAAAATTTTTAAATACGAAAGATGGTAAGAGCCATTTGTTCTTTTTTTTTTTTTTTTTTTTTTTTTTGGAGGAACCAGGGATTGAACTCTGGTCCTTATGCTTGCAAGGGAAGCGCTTCTTCCACTGAGCCATCTCCCCGGTCCCCACTTGTTCTTGTTTTATATTACTGAATTTTTAGATCATCACAATTGGGAGAAATCAGGAATTTTTAAAAGACTTGCGCTTCTCACAGATTATTTCAAGTAACATTTTGCTGAGTAATGGCAAATATTATAGAGTATAGTAATATTATAGTAATATAGTATTTTTACTATAAAAAATGAAACACTATAAATCTGTGAAGTGTTAAATTGTTTTCCAGTTTCAGACTGATGAAAAAAATGGAATTGGGAGTTTCATTACTTTATTATTTTATTCAATGGAAACAAATTTGTGATTTTTGTCTTTTATACCTCATTAATTGTATTCAGAGTTCTTAAAGCTTTATATGTATCTTTTTCTTGATTTTCACAGGTCGCTTAGTGGCAAGTCTTGTTGCAGAATTTCTTCAGTTTTTTAATCTTGACTTTACGTTGGCTGTTTTTCAACCTGAAACCAGCACAGTAAGAGTAATGATTTTTTTTTTTTCTTTTGTTCTATGGAATCCTTGCTACAAATGAGTTAGGTTGAAAACTAATGACATTTGATAACTCAGAGTTACTTGCATCTTGGTTATTATTTATAGTTACTTGTTTTTCTTAAAAGCCATCTTAGCTGTCAGGATGGGCACTTTATGTAACTTGAATCTTGCTGGTAGGGTAATATGGCATTATGCTATGAAAATTAAAAATTTAAAATAAACATTTATTAGAAAAACCTCATTGAGTTTAGAGACATCCATAAGTTTCTAAAATATTTTTTTAATCTTTGGGCATTCTTTTGTGCACCTGTATCATTTATTTTCTAGTTTCAAGGTCTTGAAGGACGAGAGAATCTAGCCCGAGATTTAGGTATCATTGAAGCAGAAGGCACTGTGGGTGGACCCTTACTATTAGAAGTGATCAGACGCTGTCAACAGAAAGAGAAAGGGCCTGCTAGTGGGGAAGTAAGTATAATCAATCCTCTGATATTTTTTTCTATTTCTTTTTTTTTTATGTATTTAGTACAAGGTCTACAGGGTCTCTGTACGTAGATCAGACTCGTAGTGATCCTCCTGTATACAGCCTCCCCAGTGCTGGGATTGCAGCCATGTGCCACCATGCCCAGTCTTCATCGCTGGCTCAGCATGCCCCTGGAATGGGCTGCCATGGCAAGCCCAGGAATCGAACCCTCAGCCCCTGTGTCTACCTAAGCAGGCGCTTTAATCCACTGAGCTATCTGAATGGCCCTTGAATTTAAAACTTTTTTTAAAACTAAGATTAAAACTGAGCTGTTGATTTTGTTTAGTTTCTAGACATTTTCAAACCTCTGCTTCCTTGATTAGCACTTAGTCATCTTACTTGTACCCTTTTAAAAAATCTGCTCCTAGGACTTAATTGATTTAGGTGTATATGCATCAGCTGTATATGAAGATGCTCTTTTACAGATACAGACACATTTGTAACTGTTTTAAGTATTTAGTTAAGTGTGTACTAAGTCATAGAAGCCTACAGCTAAGAATGTGGAGCTTTCGGGCCACCTGTTTATCCTATTTGGAGGAACTCAAGTATGTTTTCTGTTAGATTCTTTTAAAAATGGCTTTTCTATCATTTACTAGTATTCACCTACTTTTAGAGGAATCCTGCTATTATAAAGAAATAAAACATAAATTTTAATTACCTTTGAATTTTGAGTGTAGGAAATAAAACTAGCTGTGGATTAAAGTGTTGAACTCAGTTCCTGGTGTTTTTATGGAAATGACATTTTAAAACCACCATGCCTTAATGGGACTTTTGATGGATTTTATTAAATAGTTCCCAGCCATAGGTAATTAAAAGCATTCTTTTGTATGCTGAGCTCCTCATTGAGTCATTGTCATCTCCTTCAGCATCCTGATTGACTACACTTTTATCTCTGTTGAGCAGCAGCATCTCTTAAAGGTTCTCATTTTCTCAGTCTTTTTTTGCTTTCTTTTGTTTTAGTACATGTTTGTAATACATAGTGATGAAATTTTTTGTGAGGAGTTGGTACATGTACAAGTACATCTTAATCATTTTTTTAGTTTCCTCCCTTCTCTCCCACTTCTATCTCTTGTCCTATGCCCATATGTAAGTGATGGATCTCATTATTTCCTATTATCTTTTACTTTGCTCTTTATATTTCGACTTTCTGAATCTTGAGTGTGATTTGTTTTGTTTGGTAAAATTAGAGGAAGATTAAGGATATTCTCATGAATAAAGAAAATATTGTATAGTATTATTAAATGTGTTTTAATTTCACCTGTGATTTTAGGGTGCTCTGGATCTGTCTGATGTACATTCTCCACCAGAGTCACTGGAAGGAAAAACAAGTGTACACACAGCCCCTAGTAAGGTGAGTCAGCCCGGGTGGAGGCAATGTGTGCTGAGACACCTCAGGGCTTTGCTCTTCTCTGCTCTTATTTGTTGATCTTTTTTTGTTTTGTAATAAGTGCTCTTTAGTTTCTTAAAGGGGATTTTCACCTCCAAATATGTATTTTTAAAAGTGCTTTTATCGATACTGTCTTAAATTTTATATGGCAGAGAAAAACTCCCTTAAATACTGGTATTTTAGAATATTTGGACTCATTTGGTACTTTGAACATTTTTGTCTTTCACGTATAAGTTTATTTTTCACTTGTAGACTTTCAGAATTGTAGGCTCCAAGTTAAAAAAAAAAAAAAATGTTTTTTTGAATACTGTAAGCTGTTAGATAAATGACCAGATTTGGAATTGTAAACTACGATTTTTTTTTTTTCTTATAGTAATGTAACATTTTGGTAGGATTTATAGGAAAATGCACTGAGGTTACATTTGTGAATGTGTGTAGTTTGTGTTTATGATACTGATTTCAATTCTACAACATAGGGGACAAAAATGTTGAATTAAATAGTTGAGTTAAAGATGAAGGATGTATGTATAATAGTAGAGGAATGAATAGATGGAGAGACAAATATCAGGAAAATTGTCTCTGGTGACTTGTTAGAATTGATAGTACTGATGTTAGTGTCTCAGTTATTCTTCTCATTGCTGGGACAAATACTGACATCCAAAATGAAGGAAGGAAAGGTTTATTTAGCTCAGTTAATGGAGGTTTCAGTCCATACTCTGCTGGCTCCAAGACAGTAGCACATGGCAGAGGGCAGCAGTTCATGGCAGCAGAAAATAGCAAACAGCAAGAGCAAATGGGAAGAGTAGTAGCAACAGTGGTTACAGAGATCAAGTCTCATACCCATAATCCCAGGATCATGAGTTAATCACATACTCTAGAAATGAGGCTGAGGGCTGGCCGAATAGCTCAGCGGATTAAAGCGCCTGCAAGCAGGCTCAGGGTTCAATCCCTGGGCCTGCTGTGCTGACCCCTCCCCTGGGGCGTGCTGAGATAGCAGTTGAGACTGGGTGTGGTGGTATGCGCCTGTAATCCCAGCTCTTGGGAGGCTGAAAACAGGTGGATCACTATGAATCAAATCTAGTAGTGAGACCCTGAACACCCCATAGACCCTTCTCTAAAAAAAAATTGTAGAAATAAGTCTACCCAATGCATGAGGCTTTGGGGGGATAACTAGACACAAACTATAGCAGTTAGAATTGGTAGCACCAGCTCATGTTGTAAGAGGGTGGGTCTAGGTCGTGTCTTAGTCCTTTGAGGCTGTTATAATGGAATACTACAGACTGGGTAGCCAATAAACGATAGATTTATTTCTCACAGTTCTGGAGGCTGAAGTGCAAGATCATCAAGGCACTGGCATATTTGGGACCTGATCAGGTTCTGATTCCTGGTTCATAGATGGTGTCTTCCTTATAGCCTCATATGGTAGAAAGGGGCAAGGGAGCTCTGTGGAGAACCTTTTAAAAATATTTATATTGATATACATTCACCACCAAAGAGGAGATTAAACCCAGGGCTTTACACTAAGCTATATCCCAGCCTGTTTTTTTTTTTTTTTTGTTTTTTGAGATTAGGGTCTCACTCCTTGTATACATTATTCTGGTTGGGCTCAACTTGTAATCTGTTTCATAAGGGCTTTAATTCCATTCATGAGAATTCTACCCTTGTACCCAGTCACTTCCTAAAGGTAGCACGTCTTAATACTATTACGTAAGGGATTTGGATTTCGACATGAATTTCAGGGAACCACAGACATAGCCTTTCATGGCTCAGATTTGTGTATTGTAACTCTTCCTTTGATTTCTTCTCTTTAGGAACAAAGGGATAGTCCATATTCCAGAATTAGGCTTTGTGTGCTCCTAGGATAGAGTATCTTTAAATCTGGGGAATTTCTGGACGTTAATAAGCGTACTACCACATAGCTTTCTTAAATGTCTGGGCACAGAACACTGCTGAATGATTGATTGCTCTTGTGGTTTGTTTGGTTTTTTTTTCTTCCTTCTTCTTGTTCTGTGGTGATACTCCTTTTTAAGTTTAGAATTACAAATTATACTTTTTCTAGCCAAAGAGAAAGATTATTATAGTGCTCAAAATGTTATTTCCTTCTGAGATTTCCATTTAGCCTATTCTAATAGAGAAGGTCTCTTTGAAAATATTTTTTCCCTGATGCTGTGGGAGGTTGTATCCCTGATGACAGTGCAGGTCAGAGTAAAATTTAAAATTTCCTTAATTACTGATGAAGCCTATGGAAGAAAGGAAGGAAGAAGAATGTATTTTCCATGAAAATCTCTGACATCAGATATTAAAGTTAATGACTTCTAAAGTACTTAATAGTACTTGTGATATTGTGCTATTTGGAAGTTTTGTTTTTAGCAAATTATTTTTTAAAAAAGCAAATTTGTAACACTAACCTGTGTAAGAAATTGTCTTCAGGAAAAGGGTTAAAGTTTGTTGTACATAGCCTTAGTTTTTCTTTTTAAAAATTTTTTCAAAAATTTTATTTATTTATAATTGAGAAGTATCCTTAGTTTTTCTACATAAGTAAATTATTTTTTAAGGTTTAAGAATTATGGTAAGAATCTTAAGTGTTCCAAGTCAGTTACAAAATGCTGCTCTTAATTCTTAGAAGAATCTTTAAGGCTGCTTTAGAGGACAGTATTTGTCCTGCAGAGGGCACTGAATTTCTGCACCTTTCAGTTATTTTCAGTGTAGTCTGGTTTTTAGGAAGCTGAAGTTGCAGTGTCCCCTTTGGAAATACCCTGGATAACTTTGTGGCTAGGCTGGAGTGGGATCTATTTTAACATAAATCTTTGTTTTGGTACTTAAAATACAATTCTCATGTAGTCCTTAAGGATTTGGATTTGGGTTCTAGTACTACCCTCTCTATGGTTCGTCATGGTCCTTGAGGGAGTATAAATGACTCTGAAAAGTTGTGGCCAAGGGGAGGGTCCAGCCCAGCATTTGGGAACCAGGTTTGTGTCCTCCTGAGGCAGGTCAGATAATGTTGGAGCAAGTCTTCAACAAAGCTGCTCAGGCACGCCCACCAAGACTTATATAGAGCTTTGCCAAACACTGTAAGCGAAGCCTTTCTCTGTGCACTGTGGCATAACCAGGTGACAGGTGTCTGCCCTTGACTCAGTCGGTAGCTGTGAGTTCAGGAGTTTTAGAAATAGAATAAAGACAATAAAAGTAGGCTTTGGGGGGAACATACTGGTTAGGCTTTCCATTTGTAATACATTTTCTAATGGGAAATTTTTATTAGTTTGGTAATGAGTTAGTTTACTTTTAAGGATTTATATTTTGTAGTAAAATGTCATTTTATTCTCATGCTCAGATACCAAGGTATAAAGGACAAGGTAAGAAGAAGACAAGCGTGCAGAAGTCTGGTGACAAGGTAACATGCATGAGGGCAAAGGAGAAAAGCAGCCTGTGCCAAGGCAGACCTCTCAATTCATTGGGCTCCTGCTGGCCCTGGTTTTAGGTTTCCTTTTGAAATATCCCTGTTATCAGTCTGTAATCAGAACATGAGAAAGCCATGCTGGCATTAAAGGAAAAGTAATTTGTTTTATCCAGGTGGAAACCGTATTGTTGTATTCTAAAATTAGGCTCTTAGTTGAACTTTGAAAATTCCTCTTTTATTGTCAATAAAAAGAACTTGAAAAACTTGTTTTCCTTTTGAATGCGATCATGTACATATTGTCAACATTACGGTTTTTGTCTGTAGAAAACTGCCCCTCAGATTACTTTTTTGAGCATGTTCCACTTGATAAAAGACACTACCTGCTTGCCTTGGAGATGTTCATGTTTGCGTTCTGCTGCTCTCCAGACCAGTGTACCTTGTTGACCCTTCGCAGGCCCCTCCGCACAGCAGACTGGAAGGGCCACTCCTTCACAGTGGTCAGGGCTGTGGCTGCTTTCTCTTCCTCCCCTAAAGATCACACAAATGACCTAAGCCAGTAGATTAGCTGCTTGTGAAATTTAACTATTAAAGGTCTTAGAAACATTATCGATAGTTTTTATATCTCCTTAGAATAAGACAAAATGATTTAATTTTTAGTTCTCTTGAGATTCATTAGCTCTGCATTTAGTCTTGGCTTACATATTTTGCACTAAGTAGAACACTTCCAAAATTGAAAGTTTTAAAAAAACTGTTTGCTGCTTAACTGACTTTAGTTTCCATGGTTTCAAAAGTAAATTTTGTTACTGTGTTCTCTTTTTATTCACACTATTCTTTATGCATTATTAGATGAGAAGATGTTATATTACCCAATACATATTTTTGGAACATTTACATAGTGGAAGTCATTGTGTTAATGCTGTGGGCAAGATATATTTATAACACAATCCTCACTTAAACAGTTCACAGTCTGACTGAAGAGGTGAGATAACATTAAGAACAGTAAATAAGAATCTAAAACTTTTAGATTCTTTTAATCAACTTTTTTGGAGTATTTTTGAAAGTAAAAAATACATTTCTTAGTTTTAAATTTTTCTAACCTTACTGGTATCATAGCTTTTAAAGATGGAATAAATTTATATGGAAAACCAAAAGCATTCTAAGAGGAATGGTTTTCACTTTGAATAATGAGTTATGGTGCATCTGGACTTTCACTTGGGCAGCACCTCAGGTGTCTTCCCTAGCTTGGGGTGGTGGAAAAATCTGGAGGGATCCATGCCACAGAGATTAGGCTGTTAGGGGCCGGGGAGATAGCTCAGTAGAATAAGCTCTTGGGGCCTGAGTTCAATCCTTGGTTCCACCAAAAAAAAAAAAGATTAGGCTATAAGTTGGGGGGGTCCTTTGTATTTCACTGTTGTGTTCTGAGCCCATGGTACTTCCTCAGTCACTTAAATTTTGTTTTTCCCCTACTTTCCTGATCTTGTTTCTGAATTGCTTTTGTAAGAAATCTGTATTATACCCATCATCACCTGTTTCCAACCTTACCTTACGTCCTCATCCCTCTACCTTTGTGCTTTGTTTTCTGCATGCTCTAGGTTCCCAGCATTCTTAACATCCTTAACGTTATTATCCAAGTTGCATGTAGCAGTTGAAGTTGTACCCATCAATACTCCTGAGGGCGGTGTTCATAGGGTAGATGAGTGGCATTCATAACTTGTGTGCAGATGTGGAAGCCCCCCCTTTGTGTCCTGCACACATAGATTGGGCATGCTGTCCCACAAGGTGGAGTATAGGGGGTTGAAGGAAGTGGGATGGCCTAGGGTGCTGCTCAGAGTTCTAGAGCCCTGAGCCAGCCATATCATGTGTCTTCCTGCTTTTGAGTATAGGAAAGAACAAGTATTAATAGCTTACTCAGAGATTGCTGGCAGTTTCAACAAGCTGCAGTTGTACTAGAAGTAAACTTTTAAAACTCATTTATAGATAAGTGAATATATATAACACAAAACTTAGAAAACTGATTTGCAAGGTATTTGAACTAATTTAACTTAGGTAAAATTGGTTTGGGGTTTATTATTGCTCAGAGACAAAGAGTAGATAGATTATTTAGAATATAAGGAGAATAAATACTGCATGGGACCCTAAGTTTGAGACCACCATGGAGCTACAGTGAGTTCAAGACCACCTTAAACTGCATACCCAGATCTTGAAGATAGGCAAACAAACAAAAATTTGGAAATACATAGGAACAGTTACTTCCAAAGTACTGGGGCTGGTGAGGTGGCTCAGTGGTCTAAAGCACCTACTTAGAACAAGCTTAGCAAAGCACAGGGACCGTGGTTCAGTCCCCCAGCACCACATGCCAGCCAGCCCCGCCCCCAGGCGGGCTGAGCTGGCCACACACACACACACACACACGCACACGCACACACACAAATAAATTTTTAAAAAAGTACTATATGTGTGGTATATTTTATTTTATTTTGCAAGCATTGTCCTAGTTGAAAAAATAAGCAATTTAAAAGAGTTACAACACATACTTGCTAGGCTCTACCATTTAGTTGGAAAAACTGAGTAAGCTATTAGCTTGTGTTTTTAGTACTTAGAATTGGGTACTTTTTATCATAGCCTTTTTATTTTCAGGTGTTTTAAAATGAATGCATATTAAGGTACTTCTTGCATTGAATTCTTAAAAATGTCACATTCATTGTTTCTGCCTTTCAAAATTGTAGAATAGGCCCAACTTTCTGCTGATTACTGATAGTGATGGGGATTCCATCATGCATATGCTTCAGGCAAGCATGTATGTATCTTAGGCCGTCACTTCAGGGTCCCCATCAACCCCCACTGTTACTGCCTACCCTGTCCCCTTACCTCATACAGTCTGGGTGAGTGGGTTGGTGGGAGGGTGGATGGACCTAGCAGTGGTCCTGCAGCCTGCATAACTCCAAGACCCTTCCTCCTGAGGCTGTAGGCTAGACCTCTTAGCCTGCTGTCATCTGAGCCCTTTGGCTGTGATGGTTGGGGAAGAGAGAGGAAGGGTCTACAGGGTGTTCAGGATCTCACTACTAGATTGGACTCACAGTTATTTTCCTGTTTACAGCTGCCTGAGAGCTGGAATTACAGGTGCATAGGTGCGTGCCACTATCCCCAGTCTCAGTTGACATCCCAGTGTGTCCCCAGGGCAGGCTGGCACAGCAGGCCCAGGATTGAACCCCTGGCAGGCACTTTAATCCGCTGAGCTATTTGGCCAGCCTAGACTAGGGCTTTGAAAGCTCTGAGGGAATTAAGATTGTTTACAGACTGTAGGGAGAGCGTGTGTCTATAAACACTGCCATTTTGGAGAGGTTTAAATGTTTGTTTTGGGGGTTGCAGAATTCTATAGTACTTAGCTTTCTAGGTGGAGTGAAACGGGCCTTTTCTGAGCTGTATCCACAGCCCTTTATGAGACAGTCTTGCTAAGTTGCCAGGGCTGGGCTTGAACTTTTGATTCCCTGCCTCCTAGGATACTGAGATTACAGGGATGTGTCACCATATCAGGTACAAATTAAACTTTTAAAATATATTTAACTGTTACAACTGTAGGAAAGTTATTCAAGCAGTAAATCATGGATCAAAATTATCAGGGTGAGGGAGGGAGGCTGAAGCATGAATGGAGGGGAGAATTAAGTAGTACACAAAGCTTTTGAATACTGTTGTACACCTGAAGAATGTGTATGACTTTGATATTTTTTCATGTTGTAGTCAGGGCAGATTAGCTTTTACTTTTGGAAACCAAAATTCTTTTATACAGGTTCTTAAAGTGGTAGTAGTCATAGTACAGTTTTGGACTACTGCAAAATTAGTAGTACTTTTCATTATAAAACGTCTCCCTGGTGTTAATTAATTTTAAAATTATTAAATTCTGATTATCTTAAGTGTTCTTTTGGAAAACTAAGAGGATAGTAAATCTTTTTTAAGACTTGACTGTAATTTACCATAAAGTTTATTAGTCTTGAGCTGTAGCCAAGGGAATTGAATGGCTTGTTATAGTGTAGTAGTTCTATCACTTTTATGAAGACAAAACTTTTGTAGTTATTAGAAATAGCTACTGGTTTCCTAAGGCTGCTGTAATGAAGTAGAAATTGAGAGACTTAAAACTTCATGAATCTATTGTTTGGAAGCTGAAAGCTTGAATCAAAGTGTCAGCAGGGCTTTGCTTTCTGTCCTGGCCTCTGGGGTGGCCTGCAAACATAGAGGTTCTTTGTGGATGGATAGCTCTAGGCTCTGCCTCCCTCTTTATGTGGTGCTTCTCTGTGTTTCCGTTTCTTCTCTTTTTGAGGGGAGAGGGCTTTGGGCATGCTAAGCACACATGAGGTACCCTGGCCCTCTTTTATTCTCTTCTAAGGATGCCTACTCTAATATGGTCATATTTCAGTACATCTGCACTGTCACTTTTTCCATGTGTGATGTATACTTTGATGTACTAGGATCTAAGACTTCAGTGAATCTCTCTTGGATGACAAATTTTAGTTGTCGTAACAACCTCTGAGGTTGTCCAAGGAATGAATTTTAAGGCATTAAATTGTACTTCTTGGTTTTGAATAATACGTGTAATGTTAGCATATGAGCTTCATCCTGAATCATAACATCAGTTTACTCAAATTTTAGGTGATAAGAAGCCCAAGTAATTGGAGTTTATCTATATAAAATAAAGGCTTGTCCTAAGCCATGATACAGGTTTTTACACATACATATATGTATATAGATTTTCTCCATTGACAGTACTCCAACGTTTTTATAGTGCTTTTGGTTTAATCCCTGTGGGATGTTTTGATGGTAAATGTTTCTGCTTTTATTGTAGATTATTCTAATAATAAAAGTTATTTGTAATTAAGTTGAATGGGTTCTTTGTTAACACAATTGGATAATGGGTTTTTGGTGAAAAATAAGCCATAGTTATAAAGTACATGTGCAAATGGTTTAGAAACTATTTTTAGCAGGCTCAGTCCAGTGCTGGGGATTGAACCGTAGTCTTCCCTGTGTTTGTCTAAGCTTGCCTAGGCAGGCGCTTTAGACCTCTGAGCTATCTCACCAGCCCTAGAATCTTACTTTGAGAGCATTTACAAAGCAAATTGTTTTTGAGGTATATTTTTTATTTTATAGATAAAATAACTATGTTGAGAACAAGATAATTATATTATTTTAAAGAAATATGTATTGCTATAACATAATGTCTTCCATGAAGTTTTTCTTTCAAAACTGGTCCTTCTATCCTTAGCAGGGATATTGCTAATAATCACATGTTCATAATAGCTAAAATCCTTAGTTATAGATAGTTCATAATGTGAACTGAAGTTATATTGTTAATGTGAATTATGGGGAAGACTGAATACTGGAATAACTAGTTTTTTCTATGATGTTGTTTTATTTTCCCATTCAGATGCTTCATGCCAGTTACCATTTTGAACTTGCTTAGGAATGTTCTAAAGGAGGGACTTACTATCTTAGTCTGTAATTGTACCACAAGACTTCAGGGTATTTATCTTTAATGCCTTTGCAAAGATAGAAATCAGTTATAATATTTCTAACTTAGAAATTATAATTGGAGTGAACTACTTTTCCATATTTGATAATGCAGAAAAACTTGGAAGAAAATTGCTAAGATCATTACAACCTGATGTTACTTTAGAAAGCTGAGATTTGATCGCAGTATATTTCACCTCAGTGGCTGTTGTATTTGGCACTGGATGGAAAAGTTTTTCTGATGAATAATGCTTGGTGCACTTATATGACATAATATGCCTTTTCTCTTTTAATTGTATTTAAATATTCAGAATGTATTGATTTAAGAATCTTTATGAAACAATGATATACATATAGGACAAAATGGAAAAGTTGTTTATAAATGAGAAAATTGTTTATAGGTAGGATAAACCTAGTAAAGATATTTTTATTTAAGGAATAGGGAAAGAAATGATATAAATATGTATTTTTTTTTAAACAAATTTTCCCTTCTAAAATTAGCCTGGGAATTGAAGTGGTAAATCATGGGGTTACACTGCAGTTCACACTTTTGCAAGGTGATACACACCCACATGCACACATTTGCCTGTGTTCACTCAACTTCTTTATTTAAAAACGTCTTCAAGTTTTCTCACCAAGAACTGTTACTTCTCTTCCTTTCTAGAAGACCAACAGTGAGGCCAGTCAGAGTGATACAGCTGTGTCCTCATCAGAACCAAAGAGCAAAAGCAGTCTGCACTCACTGACCCATGAAACAAAAATTGGATCTTTTTTAAGCACCACCACTTTAGATGTCAAAGACAAAGCTGGCCTTTGTCCAGATGAAGATGATATGGAAGGAAATTCTTTCTTTGATGATCCCATTCCTAAGCCAGAAAAAACCTATGGTTGGTGAGTAGACTGCTCTTGGATAGTCAGACTAGAGGTTTAAAAATACAACTTGTTTTCATTTTATATATAAAAAGTGATCACTTAATGATCCTATACTGAATCTATAAGTCTGATTTTGTGTCATTAAAGCCTGTAAGGTTATAAAACACTTTAAGGTTTTAAATAAATGTGGTGTGGCTCATATCATATGATCAGTCTGTAGTGTATGCCTACCATGTATGTGCCAGGGACTGTTTGAGGGACAGAATGTCAAAATGACAGAAAGGCAGAACTGCTATCAGGAAGCTCACCTCAGTTTGCAGTCAGAAAGTCAGTGAGAATGACACAACAGTGTCAGAAGATGGGAGCAGGACCCTGACACAGAACAGGAGCTTGTGGGGGTATGTATATTTCAGCATGTCCAGGAAAGGCTCACTTGTACTGCTTCATTGTGCAAGGTTGCTATCTGAGCTGAGAACTCCAGGGATGGGAGTAAGCCATATAGTTTCTGGGTTTGCCGGTTTCTCCAAATATGAAGATATCTTATAGGCCAGAGTACAGGGAGAAAGTATGAGTGGGCTCATGTGAGACAAACCCAGAGATGAGGGCAGGATTCCTCAGTGAAACTGCAAGCCTTGGGTGTCTTCTGTATCCAGCATTTGACACAGAAGGATCCCTGACTGCTGAGCGAGGTGGATTTTGAGTTTGTAAATTGGAGAGTCTTAGGCTTATTCAGGGAGAGACGGTGCTGACAGTGATGAGAAGTTGATTTTTGGAAATACCTTGAGGATAAATCCAAAAGGGTTTGCTGATTAGTTGTACAGAACAAAGTAATACCCAGGTTCACTCCTGGGTTCTTAGTCTAAACAATTGTAAGATTGTGGTGAAGAGTGGGAAGATCAAGGTAGTGTGAAAACCTAGAACTGTGATGTGTTACATGTGGAAAGACTTGGTGAAATGTATATTAGGTCATTGGATGTGGGAATTAAAAAGTGGTCTGGGCTGGAGAAATGAATACAGGAATAATCAGTTATCAGTAACATTACAGCAGGGAGGTAAGGAGATCATGAAAATGGGCTTTGTAGGACCTTGAGCTGGACAGGGTGAGCAGGAAGGAGTCAGAACCAGGAGATGGCATGTCCTTGCAGGCAGTGGCAGGAGGGGGCAGCTGTTTCAACATCTGAAAGTTAGCTGTGGATTTAACCACATTGAGGTCAATAATGACCTGACAGTTTTGTTAAAATGTACTGGGAGCAGTTAAAGGATTAGAGTGGGCTCAAGATGTGAGAGGTAAGAATTGTAAATGATAAATGATTTTCTGATGAGTTACACAGGGGTACAGAAGATTGAGGTAATGGCTGGAGGTGTAGCTTATGGGTGCAGAAACTGGGAAATCATAAGAAACAACATATGTGTTACTGATGAAAAAGATGTGGGTTTTCTTATTTTATTGATGGATGTGTTTTCAAAGATGGGAGAATGTAAGAACTGAGGATGGAATTCCTGGACTGGTAGAATTTACTACACAGGAGAGTTGTCTTTGCCAGAAGAGTAGAGAGCTGGACCCTTTGTAGGCAGGACTGGGCCAGATGGTTGCACTTGTATGAGTGAGGATGGAGGGGGAGTGATGGAGATTTGAATAGAGAAGGTAAGGTCTTTGTGGAAGAGAGTAAAGAGAAGCTAGGCATGGTGGCACAGTCTTGTAATTCCACCATGCTGGGAGGCTGTGGCAGGATGACCCCGACCTTGAGCCCAGCCTTGGCAACTTGGTATGACCCTGTTTTCCCCCCAAAAAGGGATAGAGATGTAACTTAGTGAGAAGGCTTTAGTTTCAATCCCTAGTAATGCAAAAACAAAGTAAGGAGAGACGGGACTGTAGAATGTGTAGTGCTGTAGGGCAGTGATAATCATCTCCTTGAGGCTAGTGCTTCTGACTTGAAGAGGCTTTGTGGCTTTCTAAACAGTACGTACAAGTGTTTCTGAGAGGTAGTGTTTATTTGCTAGTTGACTTTCATATTGTCCCAGGACTGTGTTTTGGGGTAACAAATAAGGGCTGCTCAAAGAAATCATAGACAAGAAGTATGTTAAGGAACATCATCTTAACTTGTAAGATATTAAACAATGTGTAAAAAAAAGGTGAGCTGATTTCCAGCTGATTCTTTATTGGCAAACTTTGCTGTATGGTTTTGTGATGATTATCTACATTGTCTTATATGTATACTTTCTTTATTTTGAATCTGTGAAATGTTTTTCGTGTTTCTGGCTACTATATGCATATAAAGTATTTTAAATGGCTTTTGTTCAAATAACAATAAAATGTTTAGTGGCAGAATCTAAGATTATAATTTAATTGTGACTTGCTTCCTGTTAGGAGAAGTGAACCTAGGAAGCAAGCAGGAAGTCTGGCTTCGCTCTCAGATGCTCCCCCCTTAAAGAGTGGACTCACCTCCTTGGCAGGAGCCCCCTTATTAAAAGAGCCTGAGAGTAAGTGTCTGGAAATGGTGACCTAAATCTTGGTGATACTTTTCTCTGAACAGTTAATTATTATTATATTTTTTCAGAAAAATCATATAGTTAATTTTATTGTTCAGATATTTCTTTTTAATATTTTATATTTTAAGTTTCTATTTCATGTCATATTTTCTGTCATTTTATTTTTGCCTTTTCCTGTGCCATTACAATACTTTCAGTATATTGGCTTTTGGCTGATTTTTATTATCTTAAGATGTATTATATGTGTGGTCTCCATCTTATGATGGCTTGGCTTAAGATTTTTCATCTTTGTGCATTTTGCTATATGTTCAATAGGCACCATACTTTGAGCTTTGATTTTTCTCCCTGGCTAGTGATATGCATGGTCTTCTGTAGTGCTCTAGTAGAGAGCAATACAGCTCCCAGCCAGCCATAGGGTCAGGAGGGGAGCAGATAACTCTGCGTGGGGGCCTGTGTTGCTAAGATGTTTGATAGGTTAGGAGCAGTAAATCCATTTTTGATCTGTGGTACTTTCAGGTGATGATGGGTATACAATATATAAGCTTCACTGTAAGTAAAGGAACATCTATAATTTTTCAACCATCTTTTCTTGAACATTTAAGATGATTGGGTTCAGGATTAAACTCAGTGTTTTAAAGGTTTGTACTGTGATGACACCACACTAGTCATCTTTCGAATGTTAAACATTTTACCTTTAGGGACTTGGATCTGATGTATCTTTGTATTTGTAGCAGAGGGAGAGATTGATAGCAAGACACATAGCCAATAAGTTGTACCATTTGCTTTCTCATTCCTCCCTCGCAGATGGTGACAGTGCCAAGAATTAAATACAGATACATTACGGGCTCTGTATTCCATAGCATAGTAAGCACGACATTTATTTGGCAGAATGTCTGGAGTATAGGAGTAGCTCATTTGAAGAAGTTTCCTCAGTTAGCTTCACTAGGAATTTATAATACGGATTTTGCCTAATTTTGTGTAGTTCTTCACATTTTTCTGTTACATGTATTGTGTGAGTCAATTGTGAGACTTTCTAGAACACACAACAGATGGTGTGTTCCCATCTTAGACATTTACTAGGCCAGCTGTGTATCCTGTCAGATGGTCCACATCCCTTTTCTTTATGGTGATTGCTACCCTCAAGGAAGGCATTCAGGATATTGTGGTTATATTACTGATTAGAGAATGATGACTTAGAGAGGATCATTGAGAACTGAGGACTGAAGAAATAAAACCAATGAAAAGATCAGTTTGGTAGGTGCAATTAGTGAGTTGAAGCAAAGTGTAGAAGTTCAAAGGAAGAATAAAATTGGTGAATAATAATTAACTATATTCTGAGACTTACAAAAGGTCCTATAGTTGGGCAAAAAATTATTTTGATGATAGTATTCCAATAAAGAGTAATGTTTGTGGTTAAAAAGAGTATATAGCGCATAATTTAAGAACTCTGTGATGAGAATTTGCAAATTTTTCACAGTTTTAGGCCTTTATAGTACTAGACTGTCATAAAGTGGCTTAGCAAATGTTGTATTCTAAAAGTTACTGTAATGCTGTTATTTTTGTCTGTCCATAGGTAAAAAGGGAAGCACAGTTTTGAAAGATCTGAAATTAGTCAATGATAAAATTGGATCACTTGGATTAGGTAAATAAATTTCCAGTTTTTCAAGTATTATCTTTTAGGATTGAATCTTAAGTGAGGAGACTCCACAAGCCTGTATTGACACTGTTGTTCACTGCTGCTGTTCATTCAGCAGGTGTGTGAACCATTTACATGTGTCTAGGGTCACTATGGCAGGGATGGCGCTAGTAGCAATGAGCAGGACAGACTTGCTTGGGGAGGTCAAATTCTAGTAGGGGAGAAAGACACTGACAGAAGCCTGTGCATATTCTGTTGCAAGTTAGAGGGCCATTGTGGTGTGGAAATGGGTTGCAGTAGCTCAGAGCAAGATAACAAGGGGTTGATAATGAATTGCTGCTGTTACACTTCATTAGGGCAAAGGACAAAGCACTGGTGAGGGTGCCCTGTGGCTAAGAGTTTCAGAGAATCTGGAATAAAGACAAGGTGTTAACCACATTTTAGGATGTGGTGTGATCACTTATACCACATTTGGTCATTTGCCTTCATTTGCTATGGTGAAAGTGTTTTTGGTACTTTTAATGATGGCAGTATAAATCAGTAATATATTGATTTGGCAGGAAATGTGTAATTATAGATATATCAGGTAGTGTTTTATGTAAATAACATATTTTCTTAAACTTACCAGGAACTGGAGAAGAAGATTATATTGATGACTTTAATAGGTAAGAAAATTGTTGGATAAATACATAAACATACATTTGTAAATAATTGTTGTATATAGCCAAGTGTAACAAAAATACATTAAAGATTTTTTTCAGTATATGTGATTTTGTTATTCTCACTGATAAAATGAATAAAAGATAATCCAAAATTACATATTTTGGAGCTTGTTCTTTACTTTATACTCACAGACATATTCTGTTATGTGAATATTGAGGAGTTGACTCATCAGTCATTTAGAAGCCACTCTGTTGCCATATCATAAGTGCTCTTTCTATTTTTTTGTTTTTGTGTTGGGATTGTCTGCATTAAAAAAAAAATTAGCCTTTGCAATTAATTTGTTGATGCAGATGATATTTCTTAATGTTTGTGTTAACTTTCTTATGTACATGAAGGAAATTTATGAGTTGCCCACTAATGTGAAAGTAATATTTATTGTGGGTATGATTAGAAATTTTAAATTATATGTGTGAGAATTTTATTTGAGTTTTATTTCCAATTGGAAATTTGTATTTTGGAGGAGTGATTTTTATACAGTTGTTTGAAGAGATATGATGTAGCGGACATTAAGAAATTTTGGCTGTTTCTTTTTTGCTGTTGTATTCAAAGTTACTATTGCACTTTAGTTTTCTGATTTGCTAGATTACTTGATTATTGTTGTTGCCCTGGCAAAGTCATTTTAAGGGACAAGTGAGATGATATGAAATTGATGTTTGATGTATTTTACTCAAAAGATCTGAAAATATGAAGACCAGTAGTTATTCTTTTCAGAAGTCTTATTTCTTGTTTTCCTTCCTTATAATTAGTGCCACCCATCGCTCAGAAAAAAGTGAGCTAAGTATTGGTGAAGAGATTGAAGAAGATCTTTCTGTGGGAGTAGATGATATCAATACCAGTGACAAAGTATGGTGTTACACATTTCTTATAAAATGTCTATTGATTTACTGTGAAACTTTTGAAATTTAGACTCATTAGTAGAAAACACTTGAAAATTGTGAGAATTCATTATAGTTACCTGGTTGGTCCCAGCCTGTGAAGAAAGTGTTTACTGAATATGTAAAATTGTTTCAGTTTATGTCATACTTGAGTGCTTCTGACATTTTTTTTTTTCATTTCCTTATTTGGTACAGGGTTTCACTATGCAGCAGCTCAGACTCATAGTGATTCCTCTGTTTTCAGCCTCCCCAGCACTGGTATTACAGGCATGCACCACCACACCTGGACTAATTTGCCAGCTCAGTGCACCCTGGGGGTGGGGCTGGCACTGCATGCGGGACCTGGGATCAAACCCTGGTCCCTGCTCTTGCCAAAGCAGGTGCTTCATCCACTGAACTATCTCGCCAGCCCTGCTTCTGACATACTGTTGCAGGGACACTAGTCTTGCTGCTGGCTTAGGAAGATCACAATTTGGACTGGAATCTAATTTGCCTGCCCAGGTGTTGTAGGCAGAAGTTGTGTAGAACATGTGGTCATCTCAAGGCCAGTTGTAACACTTGAACAAGCAGGCGAGGCCCTAGCTAGAGCTGTAGGAGGCAAGCAGCAAAAGCAGCTGGTTCAGAGCTTAAAATCAAGAATCTATATTTGAGGTCCAGCTTTGACCTTTTCATGCTGAAAGCACTCCTCTGATAATGACTTGTGACATCTCAGTATCACCAAGTGTCCCAGTTATTCTTTTTATTTTATTTTTGTTTACTACTGCTGGGGAGATGGCTCAGTAGAAGAAGCACTTCTCTGTATTTTGCTACAGGGCCTCTAGGGTCTCACTGTGTAGATCGGACTCCTAGTGATTCTCCTGTTTTCAGCTTCCCAAGAGCTGGGATTACAGGCGTATGCCACCATGCCCAATCTCCATTGCTATCTCAGTGCTGGCATGGCACATCGGGGATCAAACCCTGGTCCCTGAGTCTGCCTGGGCAGGCACTTTAATCTGCTGAGCTATCTGGCTGGCCCTCAGTTACTCTTCTCTTGTTGCTGAAAGAAAATACCCCAAATTAAGGAAGGAAAGGTTTATTTAGCTCACAGTTTATGGTGATTTCAGTCCATAATCAGCTTTTTCTGAGGCAGGGTGGCATGGCACAGAGGCAGCAGTTCAGGGTGGCAGGAGATAGCAAAAGCAAAAAAAGCAGAGTGTTAGGGAGCCAGCCTGTTTTTCTTCTTTATATTGTAAGCAGGCTGCCCCCGACGGCTAAGGGAGAGTGGTGACACTCATACCATCTCTGTGCCCTCCTCTTGCACAGGCTCTTCTCAAGTTGACACAGTGTATCAGCCATTGCACCAAGCAATAATATGTAAGGTGTCTTTTCCCCTGAATATAGACTTTAACTGATTTTTTTACCTTTTTACCCTGTGTCATCCATAAAAGTCCTAACACTGTTGCTTCAATACCAAAGAAACTATAGAGTAGGTGTTTTCTTGATGCAGTTAATGTAGAAGTCATGTCTGCATCTTGTACTATGAATAACCACTAAGAAGATAACAATATGCAATGTATTAATTATTGAAAAGGTCCTATTAATTGGTTTTGAAACTGTCTCATTGCTGTTTCTCAATAAAATTTTAAAAAAAAGTTTTGAAGGACATTCTAGAGATAGATAATAAGTGCTACAAGTCCATGAACCCCAACAGAAGGAAACCATCATATAAGCCGAACAAACACAGGAAGAAAAAAAAAAAGGGAAGCCAAAAAACAAAAAAAGAGAAGCCAACAACAGTAAAAATAACATGACAAGGATAAGTCAATACAAATCAGTTATAACCATTAATGTTAATGGTCTCAGTTCACCAGTCAGAAGGCACAGACTTGCAAAGTGCATCAAAAAGCAAGATCCAACAATATGATGCATACAAAAAACCCATTTCATTTTGACAAATACTCATAGCCTGGAAGTCGAAGGATTGAAAACAGTACTCCATGCATAGTAAACCAGAAAAAAGCAAGGTAGTTATTCTGTTTGCAGACAATGTGAACTTTAAGCCAATTCTGATTAAGAGAGATAAAGAAGGGCACTACATCCTTATAAAGGGAGCAATTCAAGAGGAAGAGATAAGCATCATAAATACATATGTAACAAAAACCAGTGCAACCAATTACGAAAATCAAATAATAATGAACATGAAAATCAAATAAGCACTAATACAGGGGCATTGGGGTGTCTAAATACATTGCTGTCAAAAAAAAAGACAAATTAGATAAAAAGTCAACAATGAAATATCAGAACTTAACGAAAATTTTTTTATTTCATGGAAAATAAAGCAAAATTTCATAATGAAATGATAACAGTAAAAAAAATGTAGAGGCCAGCTGTTAACCTTTTGTTACGCTTACATATTTGAAAGTGGGAATAATAATATGAAGAGAGAACATTGGAATAAATTACTGTTCAGCCATAGTTTGTGAGTTGGAGTGGGTAGAAGAGATTGTAAGCACCAGGTCTGGCACATAATGTGCTTTCTGAGAATTCTCAGCTGTAAGCATAACTTCATATAATTGCACCATTTATTAGCAGCCTTTTTATATGAAGTAGACATCTGATAGTTGTACTTCAGGAGGTGGCATTTTTAAAAGACTGAAGAGAATAGTGGCACCTGAAGAATAAAATGTATTGTTTGCTGTAGTGCTGCCTTTAACCATGTGATTCAAACCAGTATCTGTTATGTACATGCTAGGACTATGTAGAAAGCATGATGCTAGGAACATGTGCTATGTGAAAGGAGATAGGACTATGAAACAGCCAAGACTGCAAGTGTAGTGAATCTGGATTTGAGTCCTGGAGCTGTCACTTCACTTGAAAATTTGTGCAATTTATTGGGAGTCTTACCCTTTTCATGTCTTTTGCAAGTAAGTCATCATTGAAAGCATTAGGGATTAGTGTGTAATGCATATAGCTCAGTACTTAGTAGAATAAGCATTCAGTAAATGGTAGCTATAGCTCTTGCTCTCTTACAGCCATAAGTCAAAATAGGCTGCTTTCCTTAAATTCACCTAAGATCAGGAAGGAAAGTCACATACATGATATATAGAAACTCAAAGTAAGGCCGAGTGTGGTGGTACATATCTGTAATTTCAGCACTTGGCAGGCTGAGGCAGGAGGGTCTCTGAGTTGGAGGCCAGCCTGGACTAAGTTCAAGGCCAGCTTGAACTACCTAGCAAGACGTGTCTCAAAAACAAAAAACTCAACCTAGGAAGTGACAAGTACTGTAGAATGCAGTGAGAACTCAGAAGCAGAAACAGTGGCAGAGGATTTTGAAAGATGAATGATTTGGATATGTGTCGTTGGGGGTGGGGGGCAACATAGGGCACAAAGAATGCGGATCTCTGATGCCAGGGCTCCCCTAGAGGCACTGTGGAGATGCACCATGATGGGAGTGGGTTTCTTGGAAGCTGGGTTTGGACCCAAAATGACAGAATGAACAGGAGCAAAGGACTGGAAGTGGAGTGTGCACAAGAGGCAGAGGAGGCCCAAAGGCACAGAGGGCTGCTAAGGGGTCATGGCTACTCTCCTGGAGCACAGCAGAAATGAGTGCTCAGGTTCCAGTGAGGGTACAGCAAGCACAACGGGCACTGACACTTTCAGAGCTTTGCAGAGAACTGGGAAGAGCTCTTTGGTGTTTGTGTTAAACTTCAATTACAGAGATTAGTATTTCCTTTTTAAGGCTCAAAACGTATATATTTTATTTTGTGACATGAAAAACCTATTTTTATAGTTTTGAACTAAAATGACTTTTCATTTCTAATTCTAAAAGTAATGAAGGCCCTCAAGAACATCGCGCGGCTGCTACCCTGCGCCGGCGGGACCAGTCCCAGCCCAGGC